CCTCCCTCCCTCCCTCCCTTCTATGGTGGCACAGTGGTTAGAATGCAGTATTTCAGGCTAACTCTGCCCACAACCAGGAGTTCGATCCTGACCATAGATGTCTATCCTTCCAAGGTGGGTAAATTGAGAGCCCAGATTGCCCACATCACAACACTGTAAACCACTTGGAGAGGGCTGTAAAGCACTGTGAAGTGCTGTATAAGTCTTCAGTGCTATCGCTGTTCCTGACGAATCCCGGGCCTTGTCCTGGACTGACTCTTCTCCTGTGCTCTTTCCTCAGGGTTACCGGACTGGCTACCCGTACCGATGCCCTGCTCTGAGGGAGAAGACTAAAAAGTTCAGTGAGGCGGAGGTTCCCGCTGCCGTCACCGGCTACTCTTTTGCTAGTGATGGGGACTCGGGCACTTGCTCTCCTCTGAGGCATAGCTTTCAGAGGCAGCAGCGGGAGAAGGCAAGGTGGCTAAATGCCAGCCGAGGGGATGACCCAGCTGAAGAAGGGCAGGATGGCGGCGGCGGTGGCGGCGGCAGCCCCAAGTCGAAGGCTAAGGTGTGGACGAACATTACACACGATCACGTGAAACCCTTGCTGCAGTCTCTCTCGTCCGGTGTCTGCGTGCCAAGCTGTATTACCAACTGCTTGGTCTGTGCCTACCTTACTGTTCATAGTTAGATGATGTAGAGCGACCGTCGGTGCCAGCTGCTGGGAGGCTTTGGATGCTAAGGAGCCCCAACCCCCAAAAAACTTTCTGATTCCCACCCCACCCCAAGTGGGAAATAACGTCCCCTGCCTCTCCGGCAAACAGTCATTCCATGGGTGTGATGCCCACCATTTAAATCGCTTTCAGGCAGAACGGATACTGTGCCGTATTCTCTCCTGGGCTCAACCCCCTGCTTGCTTTTATAAACGCACTTTTATTGGGGCTACTTCGGCCTTACAGTGGGGTCCATCTTGGCCTCCTCCTCAACAAATGCCTTGGCTTTAGACTCCTTTAGGCAGGTTTCCTACATGAAAGCCAGGCTGACGGGTCTGCTTTTGAGCAGTCCGTCCAACTCTGTCCCAGTTGAGATTCAGCCGCCGAGCCATGTGCCCCTCTTTTGCCTTTTCACACTGGCACCCCCCCCCCAAAGCCTCCCAGGGCTGACCCCCCCTCCCCTTCTGCATGAAATGTTGCATGTGAGTAGGTGGCCGTAATTGAAGAGTCTTTCCTGTGGGGGGGCGGTTAGCCGGGGGTTGGGAATGGGCGGGTGGAGGCGGCATGATAAAGTTTGGCTGAGGTGTGGTCCAGTAAGAGGCTTGGCGGGCGCTGCCTCCCGAAGACTCCAAGGCCGCCATAGCTAACAGCTGCTTGGAGATAGGGATGTCAAATCCAGGTGTGCATGTGGCTGGCGGGTGACACTGGATGACTCTAGGGCTGAGCAGAAAAACCTGCCGCCCTTCAGAGCTATTCAAAGGGCAGCACAGTTTAGGATTCAGCATAAACGGAGGCATCCTGTTGAGAATTTAGTTACCTTTAGTTCCTGTTTTTCCCTTTGCGCCTCTTGACGCAAAGCCCAAATTTGGGTCTCTGCCTTTCAGGATACTGGGGAATAATGCAGTTGTTCTTATACACGCTTAATGAGAGAACCGAGGGGAGATTTTTTTGATTATGGAGTGTTTTTTTTTCCTTCCCTTTAAAAAAAAATGCTACTACTGTCAGACGTTGAAATACCACTTCTTCGGGAAATAGCAAAATCAAACGTGCGTAAGAGTTTTGTATTTTCTTAGCACCCAAATCGAGCTGAAGAACTAAGACCAATGAAAACCGAAATTGTGGGAATACAATCTGATTTTGACATATTATAGTAGAACAGCTTTCAATCCCTATCCAGTAACTTCTGGTGTGTATATTTGATTTTTAAAATTTGTTTTATTTTTTTAAAAATCCAGTATGCTAAGGTTCTTAACATTGTTGCTAAATATCTTTTAATAAAAAGCTGGAGTAATTTTTATGTGAAAAGATAAGAACCCAGTGAGTATCCATAGCTCCATGTTCATTCCATTTTTTTACTTCATGTTTGCAAAACATTTTTTAAATTATGTTGCTTTTTAAGGAGTTCTATTTCTGGCTTTCCGTCTCAGAATTATTTTTGGGAGGAGTAGTATTTATGCAAAAACGGATTTGATTCAGAGTTGAGAGCTTACCCAGGCAATAAGTTGTTTATTAACGGGGCCAAACATGTCCTATTGAAAGAATAAATCTCATATTCATATTGGTAGGACAAACTTCTAAGCTGCTAACTTTATTGGTTAAATTAAGCAACCTTCTGCAAAAAAAGACAAATCCCTTTTGTAAATGCTTTTTTTTTCCAGCTTCGGAGATGTGGTTTTTTTGTTTTTTTTGTTTAATATATGAAGCCATAAGCTTTATATAAAACAACGACATCACCAAACTCTTGTGTTAGGCTGCTCCATCTATCTGTCTGTGTAAAAAAACGGTTTTGAAACTTTCTACTCTCTTTTTGAGTTTCGTTTTGAATTTAAACTTTGGTGATGCCCGCTCTTTCTTCATGGGACAAAATTAATCCACCTAGCCTGGTTATTATCATGCTGCTTTTCATATTTCTGTCATCTCGTGGTTTTCTGTTTGCTTTGATGTATTAAGATACCCGGGAAGTGAATCAATGATGTGGACAGTTAAAAAAAAAAAAATGGTTGAGCGCAAAATCTCCCATTTCCAGTTTTATATTTCCATAATTGGTCCCATCTGGATGAATAACCTGGCACTAAGCCGGCTTATCGTGCCCTGCAAGGGTTAAGAGGGATTTATTCCAAAAAACAAACACCTTTGCATCAGAGGTGTAAGAGTTGTGGACTTCAGCTCCCAGAATTCCCTATCCTTCTGGAGAAGTCCACGGGTATTAAAAGTGACCGGGTCTCAAAGCTTTACGTCAGGGGTGACCAACCTTAGCTGGCTGGGGAATTCTGGGAGCTGAAGTCCACAGGTCTTAAAAGTGGCCAAGGTTGGACACCCCTGTTTTACATTGTAATGTGCACCACAGAGTCACCTCTTTTGCGAGGGGGGGGGCGTCTTCTGATTTACAACCTTAAATTGCTTTAGTGATCTCTCTGGCTGAAGAAGACCCTCCTGGGGAATCTCAATACCCCCTTCCAGATGCTCCATTTTTCCTGGGTTTGGCAGTTTGATCATGGGACACCCTCTTACTCCCTTCCCAATGCAGCTAAAACAGCTGTTCCAAACCAAAGGACAGCTCTTCTTTTGTCCCCCCACGCCCCCCAAAATAAATAAAACCCCCAATCATTGCTTCAATTCTCCTTCGTCAAATCTTGCATGATCTCCTGTGCGATAATGTTGCTGTTTTGAAGAGGCCGAGCGTTTCGAATCCCCTTCTCTTTTTTCTTAACACGCCTTTTTTTCCATGCTGTTGTTTACAGTGGACTAAAGAGGAGGTTCACAGGACTGCCTCATCGGCTCCCCCAAACCTCTTTGTTCCCTTGAACACGAACCCAAAGGAGGTCCAGGAAATGCGGAACAAGGTTTGTACTGGCCAGGAAAAGGGTGCTATAGCTTTGGTCTGCTTCCTCCTCTGGAGGTATGGGGAAATGCTCCGCCTGGCTCGTGGCCCATCGGAGACCCCTCTGGACAAGGGGGACAGAGAGGTCAGGGTGCGCCTTGGGCTGTATGGCTGGCGCTGGGCATGGGTGCCCAGGAAGGTCCTGGGCCATTGGAGATAATGGTTTGGGATCAGTACACATAGTCCTCAGACTTACAACAGTTCATCTAGTGACCGAAGTTATGACGACCCTGAAAAAAGTGACTTCTGATGACCGTTATTTGCACTTAACGGACTGTTGCACCATCCCCACAATTAGGTGGCCGGAATTCAGACCCTTGGCACCTGACTCGCATTTACGACCGTCCATCGCAGGGTCTCGTAGTCCCCTTTGGCGAAACTTCCAACCAGCCAAGTCAACAGGGGAAAGCCAGATCCGCTTAACCAACTGCGGTGATTCACTTAACAACAGTGGCAAGAAAAGACATCAAATGAGGCGAAAGTCCCTGAACAAATGTCTCACTCAGCAACATCCACCCTGGGCTCCGTTATGATCCTAAGTTGAGGACCACCTGTATCGGAGAGGGGAGCGTTAGATTCTGGCAACATCAGAGGTCTGAACTTCATTTGCCCATTTGGAATGAAACAAACCAGGGCTTAGCAGAGGATCCAAGATCTTTCACGTGCTTTTTAAAAGCATTAACTGGGTCGAATGGATCTGTAGATTCGCCAGGTTGGAACAAGCCGGACCTGGAACTACCATGGGTCGAGCTTGGCTCATTGGCTGGACCTGCCCGTGGCTTACAAGGCAGTCCCTGAGTTAACAACCACAATGGAGCCCAACATTTCTGTGGCTGAAACATTGGCTGAAGGGTTTTTTTGCCCCGTTTTACAACTTTGCTCGCCTCGTTTGTTAAGCGAATCACTGCCCTTACTAAATTAGTAACAGAGTTGTTGAGTGAATCTGGCTTCCCCGTGGACTTTGCTTTTGTCAGGAGGTCACAAAAGGGGATCACATAACCAACCCTGGGACATTGCAACTGTCATAAATACGAAGCAGTTGCCAAAACATCTGAATTTTGATCACCTGACCACGGGGATGTTGCAGTGGCCCTAAAAGCATGGAAAAATGGTCATAAGTCCCCTTCCCCCCCCAGTGGCGTAACTTCAAACGGTCACTAAATGAACTGATGTGTTGTGGTTAGCCGGCAGCAGGTGCGGACGGCTGAGGAGAGCGAGGACTCAGATGAGGGGCCAGGACCATTAGGGAGTGGACTGTTGCCTTCAAAGATTGGGAGTGAGGCTGCAACGTAATGGCCCCTCCTTCAAGAAGATAAAAGCCAGCTGTCAATCGGATGTTCTTTGCAGGAAGCAAAGACGTTTTGAAACTCGAGCCTCGTGGACATTGCAGTATCTTAGTTGGTATTTGAAGACTCTTGTGTTGTAAAATATTTCTAGGTAACTTTATTACTCGCACAGTTTTGGCAAGGCTCGTGCTTATCAAAGTTAATGAGTTTGCAGCAGCCTTTTAACCGGGGATTTGTAAGAATCATTAAAAGGTTTCTGTTCCCTTTGGTTCGTGTTTGTTTTATTGGAAAAGGGTTTGGGTCAGAACATGATGTAAGTTGAAGACTATCTGTATTTAACACTTGGGTTTGGTTTTTCCCCCTTTCTTTCTTTTTTTCTTTCCTTTGACAGATCAGGGAGCAGAACTTGCAAGACATTAAAACAGCCGGCCCCCAGTCTCAAGTTCTTTCAGGGGTTGTAATGGACAGGAGCCTTGTACAGGTGAGAACGTAACAACGCTGCTTCTGGTGGCACCCTGCATGAATGCGTGGCCTCTTTCTGCTGTCTCCCCCTTAACTTTAATTGACAGAGTGCCAGGATTCCAGCGATTGCCCCTAATTAAATCATGAGCCTCAGGCCAAGCTTCAAAGGAATCCAAAAGATTTATTAGGAGCAACATGTCCGGCATTAACCCGAATGAAGCCAACTCTGAGACGCGTAACTTACAGTCACCTGTGACCCTGTTTCCCCCCTCGCCCCCTGGGTGTGTCACCCTGGGCTGGGTGTCAACAATCACATTCTCCAATGAAGGATTTTCCCAGGCAGAAGGTCCGGTGCCTAGGCTACAATCTTTTAAAGATAAGCATGGAATGCATGTCTGGTTTTCATTGCCGATCTGCTCCTTCAGGCTTCCCCCCCTCCCCTCCTGCTTATGGCAACTTGGAAAAAAGCATAGGAAAGTTTTACGAGTTGACACAGAGAGCAGCTCTTGGTCAGGTAAGTGCGAGGAGCAAGCAGGTGCCGTCTTTACCACCCCACGGAGGGTTCAGCCACACAGTGGGAGGCTGCTCTCTTAGCGGTGTGCAGGTCACAGGGCACCAGGTAGGCTGTGTGGTGTTCCTGCATTCTCATTGCCCTGCAGGGAGGGACACCTTCACTGAAACGGGTGTATTATGTTTGGTGGGGCGGTTCAACAACAACAACAACAACAACAACCTGTTAACCTCCTCCAAAACAAAAAATCCGTCACATAACCTCCAATAAACCCACACTAAAGAGATGCAGGTTATGTCCAGGTGAACTTTCTTAGTGGCTTAAATATCAAGAGCGCCAGGTTATCGCTAAGGCAGAATTCAGGGTTGCTCAGCATGCGCTTCCTTGGCCGCTGCTTGCGTATTCGTCGACATTCTGAATGTGTTTCTGCATGGTGTTGGTTTGTTTTTTTTTTAAGGCCATGTCGTAATGCTTTGAGCCGATAATCTAAGCCGGGGTTTTGGTTTGCTCTGTCTACTCAATTTCCTGTTTCAGGATGCTCCCCTCTCAGACTGTACGGAAACAATTGAAGGGCTCGACCCCACAGAGCAGGCCTTTAGTCCAGCTAAATCTGTCTCTGTTAGAAAGGTACTGACCGCTCTGTCCTTTCCACTCTCAATGCTCTTTCGCTTTTAACCTCCTTTTTATACCCTGGTTTATGGTTTCTCTTGCTTGGGGGTACAAAGGGATCTACACCTCAGGTGCGGCTTTGATGTCAAGTAGGATCTCTTGAGGCTTATAAGGGGAGCCCCCGATCCCCCAGGAAACGGCCCACTATGGGTCCGTGGCCCATTTGGAACCGGGCCGTAGGAGTGGCTGGCCTGCGCACACGTGTGCATCTCAACTTGTGCGAGCGGAGGGCTGAGGTGTGCACACGCTCAGCTCGACTTGCGCGAGAAGTGGGCCGAGAAGTGGTTCCCCTCCTCCCGCCCTCCCTTGCCGGGCCATCAAGCCGTAAAGGTTTGGGACAGCTAGCTTCAAATATTCTTTGAATAATTCCCTTTTAAACATGGTTTAGTCCAGTGGTCACCAACTGGTGGGCCAGGGACCACTGGTGGGCTTTGAGAAAATTTTAGTGGTCCTCAGAGAAATGTCCCCCTCAAAGCAATTAATCCAGGCTGTGCGGGAACACAAGGCTGTGCCGCCCACATGGCCCGCCCACCCACTGGCCCCCACCCTTTGGCCGAGCGCAAACCTTACCTGGAGTAGAGCCACATGAGCTGGAACTGGAAGGTGAGACCAACGGCGGGGGAGGGAAATCCGCCCCGGGGTGGCTTGCTGACGTTGGTGGGAAAGTCGGTCCCATATTCCAGAGCTGCAGGAGTCACAGGACTGGCCCTTTGGTCACCCTGGAGCAGCTCCTCCAGTCCATGGCAGGCCGGTGCACCCAGGTGGAGAAGCAGCTGCTCCAGGATGACCAAAAGGCCAGTCTTGTGACTATGGCAGCTCTGGAATATGGCACCGACTTTCCCACCAACGTCACCAAGCCACTGTCAGTCAAAATTCATATTAGTGGTCCGCAGGATTTAAAATTATGAGTTTGGTGGTCCCTGAGGTCCAAAAGGTTGGCGACCCCTGGTTTAGCCAGTGTAATCCCTCAGAAGAGCCACAAATTTAACCAGGAATAATCCTGGTTGACACCCGGAAGCAGAACTGTGTGTTAATGGACCTCTGGCCACATTTGTGGTTATCCGAAGTCTTTTTACTACCTGCCAAACCAGCCCATATTTCCATGCACAGATAGAGAGAGGTTTCCTTTATAAATGAAGCAACAGAAGATGACCAAGACTGCATCTTGAGGCTTTGTGATTGGTGGATGATAGAATTTAGGGAGTGGGATCCAAACAGCCTGATCCTGCAGAGTTTCACATGGCCCTGGGATATGCATTGTTCACCTTTGCTGCCTGTGACTTGCAAAAGTCCTCAGGGAATCACCTCTTGGTCATCTACCCCCAAAAGTTACGAAGAGATCCTTTAGAATCAGTGCAGTGGCTCCCCCCCCCCCCCCCCCAAATGTAGATTGCGTATAGCGTGAAAGGGTCACACAGCTCACTAGCATTCTGGCTATGGAAGATCCATAAAGCCTTGATTGAGGTTGGCTAAGATCTGATTAATTCAAAGTTGGGTTCCACAGAAAAATGGTGGACTGAAGACAGCTCCACAAAAACTGAAGGCAACAGCCGTGATGAAAAACTGGTGAACAGACCGGCGCTTTCAACTTCTCTGGACAAAAAAGAGGATGGGAATTTGCCCACAAGCGCTGTGGACAGTTGCTCCTTGTGAGGTTTTGAGCGCTGGGAAACGAGGCAGTAGCCATTTTGCTCAATCTGCATTTGGCACCTTGACAAGGATGCTAAGATGGGTGCTCTGGGCAGGGGAGTTCCACCAAGAAGGAAGAGGGAGAGAAGGGACTGCAAACTTGGGTTGTTTCTGATCAGTTGCTTCTGGAATTGGCTATGTCTAGTTTAATGAAAAGAAGGATTTAGGGATGACATGATAGCAGTTTTCCAGCATTTGAGGGGCTGCCACAAAGAAGAGGTGGTCAGCTTATTCTCCAAAGCACCTGAAGGCAGGACAAGAAACAATGGATGGAAACTAAATCAAGGAGAGAAACAACCTAGAACTAAGGAGGAATTTCCTGACAGTGAGAACAATTAATCTGTGGAACGACTTGCCTCCAGAAGTTGTGAATGCTCCAACATTGTGAGGTTTTTAAGAAAAAATTGGACAACGATTTGTCTGACAAGACATAAGTATTTCCTACCTGAGCAAGGAGTTAGACTAGAAGACCTCCAAGGTCCCTTCCAACTCTATTATTCTGTTATTCTGGTGGCTATCCTAGCTGAGGCAGCTTCAGAGGCCAATATTATCCGGGTAAATGGACAGGAACAGCAAATGGAAGTGCAGCATAGAATAGAATAGAATTCTTTATTGGCCAAGTGTGATTGGACACACAAGGAATTGGTCTTTGGTGCATATGCTCTCAGTGTACATAAGAAAAAATAAAATACATTCATCAAGAATCATAAGATACAACACTTAGTGATAGTCATAGGTTACTAATCAGCAATCAAATCATACTAGGGAACAAATACAACTATAAATTGTAAAGATACAAGCAACATGGTGAAAAGTTGGAAGAGATAATAGGAACGATAAGAAGAATAGTAATACAGTCTTAGTACATAGTTGGACAGTGTTGTGGGAATTAGTTGTTTAGCAGAGTGATGGTGTTTGGGGAAAAACTCCTTGTGTCTAGTTCTGGTGTTCAGAGCCCTATGTTGTCAATTTGAAGGTAGAAGTTGAAACAATTTATGTCCAGGATGTGAGGGGTCTCTGGATAGGAGGGAAGAGGAAAGACATTTTTGTTAGTTGACTGATAACTTGAGAAGCTTCTGGATGGGGAAACTTCCCCTCAAAATCATTGCATGGCACAACACGAAATTATTCGGAAGTCACCGACATGAATAATGTCTAGGATCCATAAAGCTCCCTCACCTGGGTTAAAGTCATTGTTTCTGATTCCCACCATCAGAAAAGAACTGATGGTAGAAACCATCATTCACTAAGAAGAACTCAGAGAGATGGTCATTACAGGTAGTCCTCATCTTACAACCACAATTGAGCCCAAAATTTGAATCACTGCAGTTATTAAATTATTAACCCGGTTGTTATGTGAATCTGGCTTCCTCGTTGACTTTCCTCATCAGAAGGTCGCAAAAGGGCATCACGCAACCCCAGAACATTACAACCGTCATAAATATGAATCAGTTAATGTAAACCACGTGACCATGGGGATGCTGCAATGGTCATAAATGTGACAAATAGTCATGTCACTTTTTCAATGTTGTAAATTGGAGTGGTTAAGCCGAGGTCTGCCTGTACCTTCTGCCAAAAGCTATCCGCAGATCGAAATGGATCTGTTGGGCTGTGGTTGAGCATAATGGAAACCACATGCTGCGTTCCACCATAAGTGCTTTGTGCGATGAAGCAAGAACACGGAGGGCGTTCAGGGCCTGAACAGCCTTACCACATCGTCAAAGGAAGAGTAAATCCCGCTTTGTATCAGAGATGCCCGTAGTAGATGATCACGCTATCTGTCCGTTGTCTGAGGTGAGGTTGAAGGATTCGTCTCAGAGGTCCAAGTAGGACCACAGGAGCAGATGAAGAAAGCAAGTGTTTGGGGACAATCTGTGACCCAGTATCGGTAGGACTTGCGTGAATTTCTGGTCACCTTCCGTGGC